TTCTTAAAAGGATTAAAAAGGAGAGGATTTGACGTGGATATCAAATTACTGGCAAAGCATTTCAATTTTTAAATCATTCGACAAACAACTTATCATCTCAACTTGGCGAAAACAACAACAAAATGTAAAACAACCATCAACTGCCTTTTTATTCATAAAAACTGGTTAAAATAGAAGGGTCTACAGTTTCTAATTAAGCTCGTTTTCTACGGCACATTGGTAATTAGTTTTTTTTTCTACTAAACAAACAAGTTTGAGTTTATTTTTGTACCTGCATGTTTTCTTAAACGTACTCAATAGCACTAACTAAACATACACACTACATCAACACACAACTCAATAACTAATTGAATACATTATGTTTATGTATGCACACATACACATACACACGTGTACATCCGTGTGCATGTGTACGTACAACAAAATACACATACGCATACACATACGCATACACATACGCATACACAACTCTACAAAAATTAATTTTTTCCTAATAGGTTTTCATGTGATTAAAAAGTCCATTTGTTTATTTGTACATGCAAATCACATACGCGATAAGGTCTGCGTGTTTGCGGAAACTATTTTATTTGCTCGCAGGCATTTCATTTGCATTCGACAAATAACTGATGACGCATGGCTAACTTTATATTTATGTAAATCATTGTTAGATTTCAAGACCCTGAAAAATAAAACTGCATCCATCCTGCATCAAACATGTGTCACTCATAAACTTCATCCGTTTACTATTTTTTCATCATTAACCTTCAACCTTTTTTAGAAAACTGGATGAAACTTGAAATGAATTTAGTCCTTATAATTTTTCCAGATGAGCTCTCGTGTTAAACAACGGCCACATAATAACGCTAAATTTTAGCGTAAAGAAATCAGTTACACTTACAACTGAAGAATTACTTAGGTTAAATTGGCATACTATTACGAAATTAAACTAATTAGTCACAATCAAACAAACTGCGTGTGTGCTGAATAAGTTAACGCGATTTAAAGCTGTCCGTCGCTGTGACCTCGCTCATGCACAGATGTGTGAAGAATATATAACAGTTATGAATTTATATTTAAACCACGAAAACCATCGACAGAAACAAACATTCACTAGAACCAACTCAAACAGAAAGACATCATCGAACCTTCTTCCATCTACTAAAACGATATTTTGAGAAACCCAATCCGAACTAACCTGGATGTGAACGTGAACACTGCACTGCACACGTGACACGTTTCGTCATATTCTCACAAGCAAGTGAATGTGAATGATGCAAATTCTCGCGAAACCTTCCTCCTTTTTTTTATTTAATCTACTGTTTTTATTTTCATCGTACTCGTAAACATGGATGTTCTAGTTAAACGTCAATGTGTACGACGCAATGCATCCGGCACATCATGTATGGAAAAGCAATTAGCATCAGCTCGCATATTTCCACAAAATTAACTAGTTTGATAACTAATAAATACTACAATATATTCATGCGAATGTAATCTTGTTTAAGATGAACAGAACGCACATCAAATCCAACGACTGCAAAAAGCAATGAAGGATTTGATACTCGGTAGTACTTGAATTCTGAACGCAAATTCAAGAGTATATTCTATATAATTGTTCGCTTTGGCAACGTTTTATGCGCAAAATTGAAAAAAAAACAAAGTTTACTTTCATTTTAAAGCTTAAATATTTTGATACATTTCCCAATCAATTCAGACTTTTAGCAAAATAATTTTCAGGGGAAGGGAAGCACACCTCTGACCTTTGTCCCCTCTCTGAATTACTGGGGCGGCAAAATATGGTCTACCTATTAACGCTTGAATTACAGCAGTATACACGGATTGAAATATAGAGCAAACTAACTCAATTGGAAGTAGGCGCATCCAGCCTTGCCTTAATCGTTAATTGAACCAAAAAGTTTCAAAATGAGAATCAATGGGTATTATTCTAATATAAGATATAATCACGGAGAAAGGCAGAAAACATTTAAATGATTGAAGAAGAGAATTCATAAACATTTATTGACTTATAATTGATTGACGTTCTATGGATGGCGAGCTATGGAAAGAATGACAACCTATTGATGAACATATATATTTTTTTCTCCAACAAACAATCTATACTTACATTTATGTAATAATAATAATAATAATATTAATTGTTAATATTATAAAAACATTAACTGGGATAATAATAATATTATTATAATTAATTATAACAATAACGAAAATAACGACAATGATGACAATAATAATAATGTAATTGAATACCATAATAAAAATAGACATGCACGTGCGCACAACAACACAATGAAACGTGAACGACGAATGAAATAGACATGAGATGACATCATCATTGATGACAACGTTTGAAAATAATAATTAATATTCAATGAGGGAGAAACCATTTTATAGTGACGAATAATAAGCCATCCAAAATAACATTAATAATAGCAAATAACATTAATAAAATTAATGTAACGATAACGACAACGACAAGAAAAATAATAATAATAATGAAAATAGTAATAACAAAATAATAGTCAATAAACGAAATACCTAAATTTGACCACAAAGTAGTGACGTACTGAAATGAAAGCCAGTCGTAAAAGGAAGGGTGTAGAAATCAATTGCAACCATATCATTTGAAATCAATCCAATAAATTCAACTCAATTAATTACAATTAATCATACGGCTAAATAACTAATTAGTTAATTAGCTAACTAGTTAATTAGAGCAAACCAAATTATAAAATAATTATCGACGTTTCACAAAACTTTAAAAAATAGAGATGGAGACAAAATTTTGTTATTGATGATGACGGTATGTTAGAAGTCGTAGTCTTCGCGTGCGAATTTGTGTATAAAAATGTACAAACGTACACTCTATTGGTATGCATGTACGCCAATATACGCGTGTATACCTACGTGAATTTGTATACATATATAATTATCTAAATTCCTAAATTACATTATTTATTATTTCCAATGTTTAGTGGGTTTAATTATGAATCGGTTCTTCTTTAATCAAAGCACACGAGCATGAGAACTTTTAACCTATCATTATTTTCGCAACTTGAACACAGTGAACAAATTATATTCATACCTCGTTAGGAATTTGTTTTCAGTAAAAAATAGTAATAACATAACCACATGTACGACGACACGAAGAAGACTCTTCAGAGCATCGAATGGCTGGTTATCAGATAGCCAGCCACTCAGATAATAATCTTTGAGAATTATTTTTCATGTTATTGCTACTACCTTTGTGCTGTTGTTGAAGTTGAAATGATTGATGACTAACAATGATGATGAACAGTGAGTGTGGCTGATGCATGAATAAAAACAAATCCTAAAGTAATAATACAGTAATAAGTATAACTGATAGACCAAAAAAATTAATTAATTAACCAATCTATGTTTTATTTGATTAATTTAGTTTTTTTTATGAAACAATTGAAAAGAGAAATGAAAAAAAAACTTTGAACAAATAAATATTAAAAAAAAAACGAACGAAACTTGCCAAGCTTTAATGATAATAATTAATAACATAACACTACAACTAATTAAAAATAACGTTAATGTTTATTACGTACTATACATATATACACATACAAATATATATACATATATGCACACATGTATGCACATATACATACACATATATCTACATGCACATTATATATCATATGTTTAAGATACATTATATCAAACCTAATAACACAATTTGCAATCTGAAGACAGAGAAAAAAAAACAAAAATAAACATAAAAATTGATTTTACTTAAAGTTAATGATGCATGTGTGTGTGTTTTAGCGTATAAACGGAGAGGTATATACATATAACCACACACACACACACACACACACACACACAAACGAACTAAATAATTCAGTGTACACACACACACACACACATAACGCGTGTTTGATATCATCTGTTAAGTACATATTTTAAAACGCACATACACGCACAACAAACAAACAAACAAATATTTTTTGTATCTGAGTTGAATTGAATGCCGTTAAATTAACACGACAGCGTATTTTATTCTTTTCTATATTATGAAAAAAATTAGCAAATCAAAGAAGGAGAACAACTGTTTTCTTGAAACGTTTAAAGATAAAAAAAATAATTGTATTTAATCACCCATTTATTAATATACCATCTTATGATTATGTTCAAATATATATATATATATATTAAACTATGTATTTACACATCTCAGACCATAAAAAAGTGAGAACACACTCTTTCAAATAAAAAAAAAACAAGTTTGGAGATAATAATTATTACATTTAATAATTTTATTACTCATAAATAAAAACATACAGTTAATTAAATTTATATATATATGTATACATGTACATAAACACACACACACACACACATATATATATATATATATAGTGTATACAATATACTCATATATAATTGTGCAGATAATGACAACATATATTATATCAACACCACACCAAACATGTATCGACTTAAAATTTTCTTGACAACAAAAATTTTCCCAATTCAACTCATTACAAACACGTGTACGCATACATTCTGTAAGTAAAGTAGTACAATTAATTTACCTACAAAACTAGACACACATAACATACCTTGAATTCACATATGATATAAACACACATATACACAGTACACAAAAAAAATATTAAGAAACGTATGGACAAACAAATACACACACACATATATATATATATATATATATATACAATATATATATATATACAATATATATATATATCAATGGAAACAAAAAAATGTAAAAATAACATCAACGTTATCAATTCCCTTAGAGTTTTCGCCCAATCACTCACACACAGTTGTCATCATCGTCGTTTCATAATTATCGAAAACAGTGCAACAACCATCACAGCTAGCGACAACAACACATTTTAGCAGTTGAGAAGAATCGTTGATAGATTAATTAATCATCATCATCATCATCGACTGACTGAACTATAGATCAATCATTTAAATGACCCGGTTTAATTGCCAGCTGACCAGTATGGTGGGTTGTTGTACTGCTGTTTGTTAGGGCCAACTTTCTGCTGGGCTGCACTGTTTCCACCCGATCCTCCCGCTACTCCGCCTGTTCCCACTCCTCCTCGAGCTCCCAGGGAGTGATCCTGTTCATCATCATCATCACCATCATTATCATTACCAGTCTTATTTAAAATAAAATCACATTAAATGTTTTTGATAACGTAGCTAAAATTTAAAGGATTGTTTGCAAAAATTTTTTTCAATAAAATGAAGACAAAAAACATTGACACGGTAATCATTGAGAAAGGAATGAAGTAACAAAGTCTGAATATTTCTTAAACAGCCTCAAAAAAACCAATTCCACAATCATTGAAAGGCTACAATTGTTCAACCAGAATCAATCACACAATAGTTATATTATCCATTAATTAAACAACCAATCCAATTAAACAACCAATTGATTGCAAGCAAAAAACCACACACACATACACATACACAAATACACAGTACAGACCTGAGCGACCATGGTATGATGATGGATCATCTGCGTATGGTTTGGATGACTCATCATGGGGATGTAGGGACCCCCTCCGTACATGGCCTGCCCTCCTCCAGGCCCGCCCGTCTGCGTGCACACCGGCACGGAGATGTTGAAGGATGGAGGTGGAGTACCGCCGTGATAGTTGGACTTGTCAAAACCCTGTTTAGTATTTAGATTGCAACACGCGTTACATAGCATGAATGCATACATAAGTATTTTTTCCCACTTAATAACGAAACAAAAATCATAGAAACGTGATTTTATTATATTATAATTAAAATATTATATTAATTATAATAAAATAATTATAATATTCAAGTTGTATGGTGACTGACTTGAACGTGCTGCTTGCTGAATCCAGCAGCTCCAGATGTCAGTAACATATCTCCGTGATTACCTTTTTAAATAAATTCATCACCACTTTTATTTATCCTATCTTCAACAGCAGATCATCACCATCATCATACGAAACCACTACCATCATCATCATCATCATCATCATCATAATAAGCCTATAGCAACAACGCTTTACAACAACAGCAACAACATTTAATCAGTAAATCTGCAAGCAGTTTAGACGCTGCATTTTGCAGATACAATCATCTTTTGTAGTAGCGGAACAGAAATTAGAAAAAAAGGGCCAAAGCCTAGTACCTCCAGTGGCCGATTTTGTGGTCATAGCAGATTGTGGGTTGTTAAATGCCTTCGTGAAATCCTGAGATTGTCCTCCTATTATAAGATCAATCAAGCCATTACAATCTCTCAACACTTATAGTAACACAAAAAGTCCAATCAATTGAAAATTATTCAACATGATGTACAGGCACAATAACAATCTTATCAACATTGAGCCCAATTAAAACAGCCACATAAATGAAGGCAGAACACAATATTAAATATGAAACATACATACACACAACACGGCACATATACATAAAGACAAACTCACCAATGTTAAACGGATGGGAGCCATAGACATTACCCTGCTTCTGCTGATACTGCGATGAAGGTACTGAACCCTGGTGAGCTGGATTAGTTGCCATTGGAACTGCTTGCTGAATGAGTAAATGTTAAATACAATACATAAAGGCCCTAATCTGGTGATAATAATTATTTATACACAGACACACACACATAGAGACAGACAGACAAAAAACTAACCATACCACCCATGCCACTCATAGGTATCATGGAGTAGTAGGGCATGATACCCTGGTTAGGATAGTAGTATCCGAAGCCAGGTTGAAATGTATGGAACTGTTGATTAGCCGATCCGGATGCTGGCTGCTGAAGGTTGCTGCCGACCGTCTGCGTGGCCTCCAGTGCCAGTTTCGAATCTGCACCAGCTGTTATTGGCGTTGATAGTGATAATTATCTTAATGCTTTTTTATAGCAAAAAAATCAAACTTAACAACCACATAAGAGTACTGGATAAGCAAGATGAAATCTCTAATACGATTAAAAAATAAAATGACAAAAAGGTACATACACGCAGATAACTGCTGTTCACCCCTGCCTTGCAGCCCAGACGCAGACTGATAGTCGTAGTACGGTGTGCCGCCCTGTGGAGATGCATATCAATAGTTTACCTCAGTGATAACTTGCATGGAAGAAAATGATAAGGGCCAATCAATTGAAAACGAAACTAACATTGAATCTCTGTGACTGCAGTTGAACATCATCATAGCCATACTGGGAGAGAGCCTGCTGGCTATGAGGGTAGGCCTGTACATGTTAGGTGTTTGTTTCATTTGTTTAAATCAAAAAAGTTATGTGAATCAATCATTTAAAGATAGAAAAAAAAACTCCATCCCTGTAATATTAATTTATAATAGCAAAGAACTTGGAATAGAGCATTTAATTTATTTTTAAAAATATTATGCGAGAGAGAGAGAGAGAGAGAGCTTACAAATGGCGCCATTGGGAAACCTGGTGGTTGACTGATCATGTAGTTGACACCTCCTTGGTAGTTCATCATCTGCTTGCTGGCTGTTTGTTTATTAAAGATCATTCATCTTTTTAGCTTCATGTTACTAAATAGGTAAAAATACAAAATATGGTAACGCCACCCCATATCTTTAGGATGAACAGGAAAAATGACTAAATGAGTTGTCCAAAAGAGATTTATTGAATAAGACTAACCATTGGTCTGGGTATTAGATTTTGTTCCTCCGGGTAGCTGTGTGATTGAAGACTTCGATGTGCTGGATGATGGCGATGACGTGGGTAGAGACGATGAATTGGATGTGATGGATGTAGCGAGATTGTTGGCACTGGATGTGGTGTTTGTAGCAGTAGTTAAACTAGCAGCACTAATCATGGACGAAACAATATCATACTGATTGTTAGAACCGCTGGTTGATGAGCTGGCACCATCTTTCAGACTTAGTTTTGTCATCTCAGACACTAATTTGTTTGTCTGTTGAGTTGAGAGATTAGTTGAACTGGATTGATGGCCACTGGACTCTCGCGGTTGAAATGAGCTCACCTCTCCTGATCTGAACTGGTAACCTCTCATTATTTCAGACTGACTCTGATGAAACACATTTTCTGTGCAAAGAAAGATGAAAGTTAAAATGATTTGTTGACAATAGCAGCATTATTAAATCAAAGAGTTAAAAAATCATCATGAGTGTCATAATAAAATGCAACAGGCATTCTCAAAAATAAATGATATCAAGTAAATTTATCACAAACCCAACTGCCACTCATTTATAAATATCAATCAAAACCAAAATCAAAAAAAATTAAGCAACTCATTAAACAAAATGTAACAGAAATAAGGAAATACCAACCAGAATTGGCATTGTTGGAAGGCATGTAAGAATTAGCACCACTAACACCTCCACCTAGGTACATCCCTGAATTGCTAACCCCAGCATTGCTTCCAGGGTAGTTGGATGATTGGTTGTACGGTGATTGTTGGTGATACAGATTGGCTGTGTTAGATGTATTTTCAAAGTTGAGCGTCGATGAAGGCTGTTTTTCAGCATAACTTTTTGTTGGAAATTGATGATGGTGATTGTAAGCTGGATAGGACATGGAGCCAGCTGATTCACTGTTGTTTCCCCGTCCAGAGCCATACTGATTATATTGGATTTGACCTGAGACTCCACTCAAGTTAGAGGGTTGTGTTGACGGAGGAGGTACTGAGTATCCTGCAGATGATGAGAGATAGGACATGTTTCCAGTTGATATAATCGTAGAGTTTTGAGTTGAGACAGATGTGTGATTCGTTGTTGTGGCATTACTACTGTGAGATAATCCCAAAGAACCGAGGCCTATGTGTTGTTGCTGCTGCTGATATGGTGAGGAAAGTAACGACTGGGTAGATGACTGCAACTGGCCAAAACCAGCAGGAGGCTGCTGACCATAGTAACTGTTCTTCTTCTCCTCACTCAACGAATTGGCAAACTGTGACTATGTTGATGATTTAAAAAATACATTTTAAATACTTTCATATTTTTAAGTTGTGCAGAAAATGAATTAACAAAATTAATAAATCTCTGAGATATCTAACAAAATCAATCATTCAGAAATATTTATCAGTACATCCAATGAGAACATAAAATGAACAGAATGCATACCACATGACTACCAGATGAAACAACATCGGTGGAGGCGGCAGAGGTTGAGCCATGAGAAGTTGATGAACTAATTGTGCTACTAACCGCACCACTGACATTTGATGTCTCACTTTGGAGGAGTCGATTGTTGGCAGTAATCATCTCAACCACACTGGGCTCCAATTGATGATGATGGTGGTGATGTGGTTGTTGTTGGTGCTGGTTGTTTATGGCACTCGAGGCATCTTGATGATGGTGTTGTTTAATGGGCAGGCTGCCAGAGGCATTTGATAAACTGGTTTCAAATTATTTTCAACATTTCAAACATGGCAAATAAACTCTTAAGCCATGCGCCACGGTCAGCCAAAATTTTTAGTTATGACATATATCCCCGAAAATTTTATGGCCAGCTCACTGAATTATATAAAAAAAATAGCCACCACATTTTTTGGACTCCACAAATTGTTCTATTTTAATTTATAAATATCTATAAAAATATAAAAACACAATTTCCAATTTTCTTTTGTTTTAATCTTTGCATTACCAGCTCACATACAATTCACTGGTTAACGGATAGAGAACAACTTCCATCTTGTTGAAAAATGGCTCTGAAGCACAAGGTAAAAACAACGTGCATCGAAATGCTTAAGATGACAAGATCATAAGCTCAATAATGAATGCCATCTTGGCGGAAGTTGATTACCATTTGTTACCATTACCATTAATTACCAAACTACATCAACTTCTTGATCCAGAAACTAAAGAATCTGTTAGCAAAGGTGAGGCAACAACTGTTTTGGAAGAAACTTATCAACCAAATACCATCATCTGTTCCAGTGTTCCCCAATGTTCTCCACTACAAATTTGATCAAGAATTTGCGCTGCTCACAGGTCAGAGCACAAAAACATAATAAAATGTTTTATTCATGACAATTTCGATTTTCCAATTAATTATTTCATTGTATCTTCATAACAGATTTTGTTTATTTCACACTTATTTTTTTTTCATCGCTGGTTCGATAAGGATCGTTAAGGAAACATTTTTCTGTGGCTATATCAGTTAATTACAAATTATATTTTAAAGCCAAATTTTTGTTGGCTTCGCCGAATATCAGCAGAATTTTGTTCTGAACCGAATTTTATTAATGAAAATATACACAAATAACAAAATCCCTTGTTTTTAAGAATTTTATGAATTCTTTAATTTATATTGTCAGCACAAAGCATGTTAAGTATCCAGTTATATACAATGAAATGCATATGATTTCTAAAGAAAAACAATAAAAATAAAGGGCTATACATTAGCATACCCTGTGGAAATAAACTGCTTGAGATTAATACCAGCAGAAGCACTGCTACTATTAGTACTGCTGCCACCAACGTTTCCACTGCTAGTCATGATACTACCAGCTGCTGGCTTGCTCGTTAGGTTAATAGCCGTATCTAGTTGACCAGATGATGATGACGATGAAGAAGAAGCTACTTGTCGTGTCATATGTGCTAGCGCAGACATGTTAGTCGTTGACAATGATGAGGTCGACGTTGTTGACGATGACAGCAACCCAGAATTAGCGAAAGAATCCCAATTTCCAAACTGTACATCGAGTTGAGTGTTGCCCATCGAACCTGGCATTTCCACTGCAGACTGCGGTATCTAATGATTGAAAAAAAGGGATGAACTAGAACTAGTTAAAACATTTTGAGTTGTTAATTTGTAGATGACATGAAATGTAAAATGAAATGATTGAGTAAAAATTAATAATAAAAAACCTTTGATGGGGGGGGCACTTTGGGCCTGAGGTGTTGATGAAAATATTGTTGCTGCTGCTGCTGCTGTTTAGCCCTCTCCATCTGCTGCTGCTGATGGATGTTAGAATTGGGTCCAATCTAGCATTTTTTAAATGTAAAGTAAGTAATTATTAAGCTAATTAACCAATGAATTAAAAAAATGTTAAGTAATTACTAAGCTAATTAACAAAATGAATTAAAATGTAAAAAGAAATAAACATTTGACAAAAACATAAGAATCGTATAACAAGCTAAAAAAGGTTAAATTTCTTGAAAAATATAAATTTCACAAAAAATTCAAAACTTTATTGCATTAGTCATTTTAGGCTGCAGTATCACACAGCATGATCATTGTGTATGCAAATGTTTGTTTTGCATAGCCATATTATAAAACAACACCAAATATAAATTACAAAAAAATGGTTGAAAAGTAATTTGAAAAGTAAAAATTCACCCCAACAGCATTCTTTATACACTCAGTGGCTTCTTTATTGAAGTGACTCATATAGGCAGACGACGACGATGCCACTGGAGGACCCCTAATAAATAAAATAAAAAAATATATTAACACTGTAAATTAAATATCAATGATATGCATGAGACTTTCCTGTCAAACTAACAAACCAGTTGATTATAAAACCAAACATAAACTTAGCAAAGATTTGCAAAAAAAAAACATTTTTCTTTAATGGTTTTATTTCTACTTATCACGTTGGTGCAGTATAATTATAGTACATGGAGCATCCAACACCTTGATTATTTTAAAGACAAAAGACTTCATTAATAAATTTAACCCTTTCAAATTGTAATTCCAGAGGTTTTAAATAAAAAAAGTTATAAAATATATAAGATAAAAATGCACTGATGTGGAGGTTTAAAAAAATTTTCTGATCAGGTAATCCTCAAATATGAAACAGCTTTAATGAAAATAAACACATCAACAAAATGTTAACAAGCTATAATTAACCTTGTAAGACCAGCCAAACTGGAATCATTGATAATTTGATGCTGGTGATGTAACTGCTGCTGCTGATGGTAGCTTAGTTGCTGCTGCTGTTGCGACTGGGGCTGTTGAGGTTGCTGTTGGTGATGATGGTGAATGGAGTTGGGCGTATTGTACATACTGCCAGCACTTCCTAGGCTCATTCCATGTAGCTGCTGTTGTTGAAGCAGCAGTTGTTGCTGCTGCTGCTGATGTTGCAAGTCTTGTTGCTGCTGTAGTTGATGCATGACATGAGCACTTTCAGCAGCAGCAGGTGTAAATGCATTCATGGAAACTGGTTGACTATTTGACGTTGGTGTACTCCTTGTCAGCACTAAACTTTCCTCAAGCTATAAGCAAATTATGGTAAGATGATGAATTAAATAACATTGCTATGCTGTTGAATATCACTGAGGACAAATTAAGAAATTGGATAATAACTACATAGAAGATAACTGAAACTATAAATGGTATAAAGATGAACACTAACTGAGCCATCCCAATCATCATTGTTGTTCGTCCAATCATCATTCCAACCTGCTGAAATGAGTTGTGTTGTGTTGTCTACAGAAAATATGATTATAAAATTACAAAAATTAGTCACTGAGAATTTTAAATGATAATTATTTCTCAAAACATCTAATCATCAATTATGGTCTTTGCAAAAAATTCATTCAAGATAAAAGGCAATAATGTAAAATATGAGAATGAAACTAATTAAAATAACCTTTCATTGAGAAATGCTAATGTACCTAAGAAACAATTCATCCCATAAATAGGAAAACACCGCAACAATTCGAAACATTTCAATCATTTATATTCACCAAGATATCAGTATAAAATCATTTAAGATAGTGACCATAAACTGTTTCAAAATAAAAAATATTAATAACCATGATATTTTAAAGAATCTGATAACAAGTATCCATGATATTTTAAAAAATCTTATAACAAGTATCGAATAAGAAGCTTGAGCAATTTTTTTTATTACCAACCAGCCTAAAATACAATTCACTTAATAGTTAGATCCACACTCGGTAGACATCTTAACATTTTAAAAAACATATAAACTCAAATAAACCCAAACTCTGTTAAAGATGAAGTGAACTTCATATTAGAAAAAAACTAACACTCAGGCTTGCCATTTTTAACAATACTGTTCGACCATGTGTCAATATTCTGCTGAGGCTGACTTGGTTTGGGCTGCTGGATGTTGTTAAAGTCACAACCTCCCGATTGGTCTCGGTCCCGAAAGTTTCTAAAAAAAAATACAAAACATTCAAAGTAAAAATTCCATACAAAAAATTTGATCATTTATTTTTAATTTATAAAACATAGAAATAGCAAATAATTCAATATCAATTCACATCCATCTGAAAATGATATGGGGAAACGTAACCTTCCTCCCGTTCTTCCTCCACCGAAACCACCTCTCCTTCGATTTCTGGTACCGTCAAATCCTCCTGGACGATCAGAATTAGTGAACCCAGTACCAGTCTCTCTGTTCCCATTCACAATCCCTCGACCTGAAACACAAAACTCCAGAATTAATATTTCAATAACAACTTCTGGCTAGAGAAAACAATAAAAATTATGATAAAATAAAATTAGATGGACATAAAATTTTTATTAATGACCTCGACCAAATCTTGGAAACCCTTTGCCACCTCGACTGGATTTGTTAGCAGCTTCATTAGTAGCTTCGGAACCTTCCCAATTTTCAGATTTGTCTGGTTGTTTGCTGGTATCAGGTGATTGGTTGGAAAGTGTGTCAGTCTTCACAACGGATGGCTGCTTCTTCTTCTTTTTCATTTCGTGCCATTCATCCTTTCAATCATTGAAAAATATAAATAAACACAACTTGGTTGAACAAAACAGAATACTAGAATATGTTTTTCAAATTTATCAAAAAACAAATCAGTACTACCTGATTGTTTGTTTTTTCAAACAATAGATCGACAGCTTGATTGGCATCCCCATTGCAGTCATGAAGTGCTGTGTATGCCTCGTCAGCAGACCGACCTGTGAGGTCTGACACCTTGAAAAAGTTGTATGGTAATTAATAGAAGCATGATGTTAAAATGAGGAGATAATCATTAAAAATTACTTCTTTTATCTTTTTCATCATTTCTGGATCTGCATCTGTTTTGACTGCTGTCATGCTAGCAATGCGTAACTGTTCAGCCGTAGGCTGTTAAAAAAAATCAAACTATTGAACACTTTGTAATACATAAACTATAAACTGAATCAATTTAATTTATGACCATGGGTAGTTTAGTTAGTTCAACTCCAAAAGCAAAAGAAATTTCAACCTGATTTTTATCTGTTGTTGTGCCATTAGCAACCTGATTAGTTTTCCCTCCTCTATCTTTAGTAGATTTTGTTTTTATAGAATTCATGTCTTTATTTACTAAAATCTGTACAGTAATTTCTATGTACCTGACGAGTTTAAAAATCAATTAGTGAACAATTAAAAAATTAAAATCAAATTTTGAGCTTCACAAATTGCGTATCTGTTCGAACATGTTTTTATATAATGATGAGCTATTTTGAGTTCGAAAACAATTTTTATGAATTCAAAAATTGAACGTTAAGATCCGTTTCAGAAGAAAATCAGCCATATTCGTCAAAAAATTGTTTAGACAGATTATTTCATGAAGATTGGCAGAGCGTACAATTGCAATACAATACAACAATGAATTCAATACAATGATGGTGAGACAAACCCAGCGATTAGTCATATTTCGGTGCGGATTGAAACAAAAAATGGCGAAAAAATAAACCGATCAATAAAAAATAAAACCTGATCCACAGAAATGGTAAAAATTACTAACAAGGCTGGCTTTTATAAATATTCTCCCAGCATTAACTAAAATTAGTTTCACAAAAGAATTATATATAAATTATCACGTGACCGGTAGTAATTGTTAGACTCGTTTCTTGAAGCGCTAATTTCTTAAACATTTTAGAAAAAATTATTGTGCCGTTTTAAAAAGCGATTGATAGCTACAAGTAGTGAACAAAAATTTTTATAATTTTGTTTTCATTTATGACAAATAAAATTTCATGTTCATTTGGTTCGAAAGTTTAATGACTGCGACCAGAGATTGTAAGAGCCGGGTCAGATAACATACGGTTTATAAGTACATTTTATATTATTATATATATTATATTAGTATACTCATTAGATATATCCATGGTTATTACTTTAGAAGCCTTTCATTGGAGGCCCATTTAACTTGGAGGTCCATGTCAAACAACCCTCTTGACTGATCCCGACTCCAACAGTGCCTGGTTTGAAAAATGTTTTGATATCTGTCACACTCAACCAAGGAGGGTCCAGAGGAATGATCAAGACACAAACAGAGTATATGGATTATGAATACATGCCAAACGAGGCATCGTACACGAAGCATGTCATTGGCGGTGGTGTTCTTTTTGTCATATTCGAACCAGGTGACTACTAAACGGCAGCAGATGACCGCCACGCCGCTCAAAGTTGCGTTCATATAGGTATAATAAATTATGTATGAAGTGAACCAACAAAAATTGAGCATAGCGTACATAATAACTGTTCGGTCGATTCAAGATACTATATATCAAAACGTCTGGATTTCCATTACCAAATTATACATTTTCATGCTAAGGAGATTGAGTGCTACATGAATCTAGTAACAAATAACCAGCTTAACTCACTATATCGGCCCCACATTCCCAAAAATAATCGGATTATAGTAGGTAGTTCATAGTGATGATTCTTCCTATCTAAAAACTGAGTTTTACTGACTTTTAATAACGACACCGCTCACTCACAACGGGGGTGGTATGGCCCTTCCTCCCTCCCTTCCTTCCTCCCCTCCTCCTCCACAGATCAGTAGATTCTCCACAGCTGAGTAGAGATGCATATGGAAATTCATTTTTAAATTTTTAACTGATTGAAATGAATTTAGAGCCGAAACTAAAATAAAACATATAATATTGAGCTGATAATTTTGATAGCGCCGATGTTATTACAGTTGATATAATGATATCAACGATAACGACAGATATAATGATGATATGTTACCAATTGTGACGATTATATCGGCAATAATGGCATATAATAAAAAGACTAATAAAAGCAGAAGTAATCGATAGTGGTGATAGTTCAAATCCAGACTCACAGGCTCCGAACATAAATTTCATAACAATACTTGTCACCGCATGTTCATGGAGGAAAGCTAAATAAATGGAGGAGTAGATGTAGGCTTTTGTAAGGATTGCTTTTTGAAAAAGCTTCCATTTGTAAGAAAGCACACTTTTGTCTGTTTACGTGTGTATTTGCTTGTGTATACGTGTATGTGTTGTTGTGTACGTGTGTGTGTGTGTGTGTGTATCTGTGTTGTGTGTATGGTATGTGTGTGGCATGTGTCGTGTGTGTGTTGTGTAAGTTGTGTTTATGCGTGTACGTGTGTTTGCATGATGTTTGTGTGCGTGGGAATGGAACATTTTGTATGTATGTGAGTTCTTTTGATTATTTGCGAAGGTGTGTGCGTGTGTATGTGTGCGTGCGTGTTTCACTGTACTCGTTGCCTGTATGCTTGCGTGTATGCGTGCGTGCCTACACTTGTCTTACTTCATTCAGGTAGGAGTTGAGGTTGATTCACTTTTAAGATATCTTCAAATTACACGTAAATACCTTTATCGTTTTTCATTAAATTGCTAGTTTTAATAATTACAAAAAAAATAATAATAAAAAAATTAAAATTATTATTATTATTATTGTAATTTTATTATTTTTTAGGAGTTAATTAAAGAAAAATAAAAAAATATCTGAGTGAAGAAGGGCCCAAATGAAAAGAGAGAAAGATAATAGCCTAATTAGCCGGATTGATGAGTTTGGAAGGTGGAGAAAATGAAGCCGTCGTTGTCGTGATCATTATCATTTGACGTCATCGTCGTCATCATCGTTTGACGTCATCATTATCATCGTCATCGTCATTTGACATCATAGTTACTTGACATCATCATCGTCGTCATCATCAAACATATTATAGAGATATAACAAGTATCAATATTGTCCCTTCAGATAACGCCATGCATTACTGCAAACTAAACATTTATGAATATTACACAATAAGTTTTAATAATTATATATATATATATATGAATTTTTTATTTTATATTATTATAATTATCGTCTTGTATCATATATTTTAATAAAAGAAAGTCGTTGTATCTTTGCAGTTAGCATTGATTGACTGACTGATTGGTTGATTGATTGATTCCTTCATTCACGGTTCATTCATTCACTCACAAATTCCTTTCCTCACCAATTCATTCATTCATTCATCCATGCATGCATTCATTTTTTGCGAATTATCCTATTTTTACATTTGTAACGTTTTTCCCACGCCTTATGCTATATGCAGTGTGCACCTCGTCTTGACAAGTACAAATCAACCAGATATCGATTGAGTTTTTTAAAAAAATGCTGACACAATTTCGATAGCACACAAAAAGTTTAACGATATATTTATACCATAAGTATTGATATATAACCATACCATGAACACTGTTACAATTGTATAAAATGTACCGTTATAAACGAGTGATTAGTATCGTTATAAATATATATGTATATTACAAATATCGTTATAAATGTAACATCAGTATCGTTATGTCTGTTTTAAGTCTCGTTAACGCCATATTATGTGTCACCATATTATAAAATTCTTGCGTTATTTGAAGCCATTAATTGAAGCCAAGTTTTAAACTTGGAAATTTCGGCCGTTTCAAAGCTAAAAGCACTGACCTGAGCATTAAAAATATCGTAACGATAGATACAAGTTAATCATACAAATACTATGAAATTTTTTCTTCATTTAAAGATTTAAAGAACACACAATAGAAAATGCATTTTTTTCATTTGGTTTTTCCTTAGTTCTTGATTATTCCATACAGGCACACAGACGGTGCCAGAAGCCTGGTGGTTCGGTGAATGTAATTAGATTTTCAAATTTCAGGTTTGACTGGTGCACCTAAAATGATCTGGTTACTGAAAAATCATCTGGAGATAAAATTGGTAATTGTTGCTAAATAGGCACGAAATGCGATTAAGCTGAATATTTTAATTTGTTAGTTTTTTAAGGTTGGTTTATAGTTTCATAGCTAGCGTGTGTCTTTTTTTTATAAATTTTTATGATTTTAAAACATTCTTTTAAATAAAATCAAATAATTTTTTTAACTGATTTGAGTATATTTTTCGATTTTAATTTTTATTAGTAAAACAACAGACAAACACGTATAGGTAGATACACTTTTTGACATTTTATTAAACAATGACAACATAAACTAATAAGTTTTTAATTTGGCAAAAGCATGATGAATTTTTAAGATGCTACAATAATAAATCCATTAAAATAATCAAATTTATTCATTTACTTTTCATTTTAACTCAATTTTAAATGAAAAAATCTATCAAATAGACAGGTTAATGACAGCCTTATATCAATTTAAACATTATTAAACTGTTGAATATTGTGTAAATATAAAGTGACTTTATATTGAATATTGAATATAAAGTGACTATTTATATTTGACACAAAGAAAAACATGTAAGAATAACATATAGATATATATCAGTCACGTACCTATATCACAATATTGAGATACAAAAAATTTATCAACGTTCTACGTACTAAACAGTATCATAGATATACTAAACAGTATCATAGATATACAATTGAAAATTAGTTTTATATCAATAATATTAAGAATAAACGTTAAATTGAATGTTAAATATTTATTAAAAGTTTGTAGAAATGCGGACAGAACATCGCGTGAGATCTGTTTCAAAAAGTCAAAAAGGAGATGAATGAATTCACAATCAAATTTAGAATTTTTTGAAATAGAAATGAAATACATACATTCTTTTTTAATATAAAAATTACGCCCGCACACGCACGCACACCACACATCACACACACACATACAAACAGCAACCAAATTCATAAAATAAAACGTAATTTATTTAGAAGCAATTCATTTTTCATCAAAATTCTCACTTTAAAAAGGAAAAAGACGTAATCGGAAGTATGTTTATTATTCATCTAATAATAGAATGACGTCATCCGAAAAAAGGGATGGACAGAGATGGCAGGATTTACTTCAACTGCTTCAGCAGATCAGCGTTGGCGTTGAGGAACTCCTCCTTGCTAATTTTGCCATCGCTGTTTTTGTCGGCCATCCGAATGAGTTTCTGCAAATTTTTACGGTTAATTAATTAATTAATTAAAATAACAAATTATCACTAATATATCAGACGCCATTTACAAAATCTAGAACCTACAAACCACAGTAGCTGCTATTAAATATTTTCAAATGAAACTATCTGACAGTTATATTAAACATGATGACGCTTTATAAGCAGCAATGCCGACGGCAGGTGCTAGGAATGTTTAACAATACTAAGTTTAGCAAATAAGAAAACTACATCATACGTTACGAACCAATGGTGTCCTCATTCGACGCTTAACGTCGCTTATTTATCACGAAACACAAACAAGAAACAACACAAACAACAACATAACAAAAGAAATAATTATGACACACTAAACCAAACAGTCAAATTGTTATATTTATATCTTAAAACAACCAACACAGCAATAACACATCACATCCGACACAACCAGCAACACATCACATCAAACACTTCAAACAATCAACGCCATCACGACACAACCAACGACATATTCCATGGTCATCTCAACACTATCAAGAACATCATCCTTCCAGACTGACCGCTGAAGCTTCCTGAACTTTTTCCTTGCTGAGAGATTTGTAGGCATCAAGAGTCTTCATGAAGTTTTGTAACTCGCTGGCCGTAACGAAGCCGTCGCCATTGGCGTCCAGTTTCACGAACGCCGCTTCCAACTCGGCTCTGACTTTGCAAGCCATTTTTAGTTAATTTTTTATTAATCGAATTAACCGAATATATAAAAATTTCGATGATCAAACTTTTCGCAACTTTGTAAGACCGCGCCAACGCAAACTGCAAAAGCGTGAAGATAATTTCGTGACTGTAAAGAGAAGCGGTGTTTATATAGGACGTGGATATCTCCCGTGTAGAATGAAAAGACACTTGTCATATTGCAAGCTACTTTGAAAACTCTCTCCTACTACTCACTCTCTTCTCATCTATTCTCATTCTTTTCTTCTTTCTACATATCACTCCCTCTTTTCTTCCTTTCTCTTTCTCCATTATCTTTCTTTCTCTCTCTCTCTCTCTCTCTCCTTCCTTCTCTCTCCCCAAATTGATTTTTTTCTTTTTATGTGGAATAAAAAAATACAACAAAATAAATCGATAACATACTCAGAAGCACAGCGCATACACATAGCAAAGATACACGTACACAAAAACACTTACACGTACACACGCACATACACACACCCACACACTCACACACAGACATATATATATATATATATATACCAAACCGAATTCAGTAAGTTACATGTACAAAACGCTGATATATATTAACGCAATTTATATTTATTTATATATCGTACCGTATCTAACTACAAATTCCTTTGTGCAATACTTTTGAAGCAGCATCAAAAAACGCTAGAGATATGAGAGGATGTCAGCCAGTACAACTTTGCCAAAAAAATAGCATTCAACTTTTGTACGTGTACATGTGTGTACGTACGTAAATATATATACTTGTACAGACACACATACAAACAAACAAACAAACATAGATAGATACATACGTACATAAACATACACACACACGCATATATCTACATACCAATCATGGGGTAGTTAATTATTAAACTTAATTATTGTACCTGTCAAGCTAACAAAAATATCAATGGAGTGAAAGAAAACAAGATTTAAAAACTCACAAAGATTTATGATCACACGTACTTACATACACACGCACGCGCACACGCGTACATATAACATGCACATAAATAAATTAATGTAATAAAAAAACTACAATGGGACTGAGAGACCGTTTAAAAATGCCATCTGAGTAATTTTTATGTCAAATAAACTCTATCTTTAAATAGCACACCAAGAATGTATTGTATATTGTTGTTGATTTGTGTGTATATTTGACTCTAAAGGCGCCTAAGTGTAGTATATATTACATTCTTAGCATATATAATATATATGCTTAAATATATTTTTATATATATATATCTATATATATATACATATACCTATACCTACCTATATACATATACCTATATATATATATATATATATATATATATATCCCAAAAATCTGTTTGCTATCCATTTATTCATTTGTTTTATCAACCTATTCATCAATTCTTCCATTCATTTCATCTATCTATTCTCTATCTATCCATTCATTTATCATTCATTCACTATTTCATTCATTCATCCATTTATCCACCCATCTTTCCATCAGTTCGGGACATGCATAGCTTTACTGCCATTGTGTAGCTCATAGTTTGAGAACTCGTTCATCATTTTTGTGAATTTCATTTTAAATTTTAAATGGAAAAAGAATGATGCTCCAGTTTGCTTTACATATTTTGTACTAATTTAAAAATGCACGCGCACACATGCGCACACGCACACACAAATTTGTTAAAAAAAAAGTTGAAAAGCGCGAACAACAATGTGCGAACTTTAAAAAATTTAATTAATAACAATAGCAACTTCATAATGAGATACGTGAACATTCAAAAAAAAAAACATAGGATTGTACGTTTGGAGTCCATGAAAACAGAACTAAGAAAGGAAACAATGATAGAAAGAGAGAGAGAGAAGTAGAGAAAGAGATAGAGAAAAAAAGTAAAAGGAGATAGGAAGATGAGATAGAGAGAGAGAGAGAGGGAGAGAGAGAGGGAGAGAGAGAGAGAGTTAAAGGGAGAGGAGAGACGCACGCACGTAAAGGAATTTGGCGGCGAAACAAGTGTTAGAGCACGTTGGAAATAAGAACAATCCTGTTGTACAACAATCACTTCATCGTCATCGTCATCGTCGTCATTATTTTCATTCCATCATTGTCGTCATCATCTCTATCATCACCATCTTCATCACCATTGTCATCATCCTCATTTTACCGCCATCATCGTCATAACTTTCCACGTACTCATTGATTCATTCACTCATCGTCGCCATCGTCATCACCGCCGTGTCATTGTCGAGTCGTGCTTTATGAATGGCCTTTAGAATAATAATATTATTAATCGTCCTGAAGTTGGAATAATTGTTTTCATCGTTGTCGTTGTTGTCTATTGTTTTTCGGCTTGGTAGTTATGGTAAACAATTTGTTGTTTTTGTTGTTTTATATGTTGTTGTTGTTGTTGTATATGTTGTTGTTGTTGTTGTATATGTTGTTGTTGTTGTATATGTTGTTGTTGTTTTTGTTGTTGTTATTTTTATTGTTATAGTTGCTATTGTATTGTTGTCGTTGTTTTGAAGTTGTTGTTTATGTTGCAGTTGTAAAATCAGATTTATGTTGTTTTTGTAGCTACTACTGTTGTTGTTTGTACTGCAGTTTAACGGATATGTATGTG